GTTTCAAATGAGCATTCTTACATTCATTCCCCCCCCCCCCCCCCCCCCGTAACGTAAAGAAAATTCAGCTTTGTTAAATTTGTGTTTGACCATTGGAAAAAAAAAATCATTAAAAATGTCTTAACTACCAGGCATCCTGGTTTGTTAATTTTTTTTGTTGGCACTTGTGTTCACCACAATCAAGCACTCCAGTTGGTTTGTTAAATTTTTCCCTTCTACCCAGAACTTTCTGTAAGTTTTTCTGCGGATTCTTTTATTATTTTGTTGTTGTAATTGTTTTTTTTAACATCTGGATATGTAAGGTTGTTCAAATAACTTTAAAAAGACAAGGAATCTAGGCCTGTCTGAGAAGCTCCTTCCCTTGATAACCCACCTATGGGAAACTGAAGGAAGAGACTCGCTTTCATTTTTCTGAATCTTATTAAGCAAAAATTCATTTTAATTAATTTTAAACTGAAAAAAGTACAGAAACACTGTATTTATTTGATGGTGTGCATAAACATTACACTCCATACATAGCAAAAATATCTTTTATTTATAATTTACATTTCAACAAGTGAAAATTTTACATTTTTACATATACCATTAGATTTTCACGCATCTACAGAACTTTCACACAATGACACCTGAAACTGTGCAGGCAATAAGAAATTTCAAATACAAAAATGTATTTATTAACCAAACAGTAGCTGAGGCCCTGCCTCAATTGGACATTTTATTCGTATAAAAAGTATTCACCTTCCAGAATTAACACAGCAGCTCTCCTGTAAAAAAAAAATCATACCGCAGTTTATTTAAACAGACTCCTCAGGTTCTGTTTTTATTTCTGTAGATGCAGGTGTGGTCTCTTCTGCACAGGCAGGAGGAGTGTCATCAGGTTCTTCTTTGATTTTAGGTGAGTCACAGGACTCTTCTGTTTCTTGTTTAACAATGTCCAACATTATATTTAGTGGATTTTCTGAGGGAGTCTTGCTGGGAGACGGTGTGCAATCAAATGATGATGTCTGCGAAGTGAAAGTCAATGCAGCATTAGCACACTAAAATAACCATTTTTAGCCTCTTATTTTTTTTGCTTTTTTTCAAAATGCCAAATATGTTGATGGTCAGGTATTCAAAATCCAACCTTCTTCTCTTGTCACTTTTAAGAAAACACATTCATTTTTTTAATAGCATTATTTTTTTTTCCAATTCCTTTGAAAAGTATCACCAAGCAGTGATGAAATGCTTAACACATTACCATGAGCTGGTGTAATTCTCAAAGCATTAAAAATGTCACACACACCAATACCCATTTACTCCATTGTTACAAATTCCTAAGATTACACATTACTCCACAATAAATCCATCAAACCTTTGCTTTATGGCACACAAGCTGCCATGGTACACCACAACCAGAAATGCACCTCAGCTAATTCTGTATTATAAACTTGCCATGCCCAAGGCCTCCATGTCTTAGGCAAGAGAAATGAGCAGCACATTCTGAACACATCTGCTCCCTGCAAAGTCAAGATATGAAGCAAACAAACTGAAAGCAAAATGCTTCCAAAAATATGAAAGAGTCACTTACATTCTGGTAATCTTCATAACAAGATGGATG